TCACATCTCGTTTTCGGGCGCGAGCAGCGGGCTGGGAGGGCTGGCCCTCGGCGGGATCGACCCGATCGCCGGCCTCGGCGCCGCCAACGGCGGGCATGGCGTCGGAGCTCTGGGCGGAGGCGGCCCGCCTCCAAACGGAGGAGCTGGGAATGGAGTCAACGGCCTCGGCGCTGACCTGCTCTCGCACCGGGGAGGCGGCGGCGGAGGCGGTGGAGGCGGCGGCGGAGGAGGAGGAGGAGGAGGAGGGGCGCTCGCAGGGCTGGGAGGCGCATCGCTGTCCAACGCGTCGTTGCCTCTGTCGTCGCAGCTTCAGAATCTGCTGCAGGGCACGGGTGGCGGAGGCAGCGGCGGAGGCGGCGGCGGCGGCGGCGGCGGCGGCGGCGGTGCGATGGGCCGCGGCGGCGGGCCGAGCGGCGAGGGGGGGTCGAACCTGCACTCGCTGTTTAGCAGCGGGGGCGGCGGCGGCGGCGGGCTCATCCCAGGCTGGGTCGCGTCAGAGGCGGTGCCGGGCAAGGACGAGCTGGGGTTTGGGGCGGGCCGGGAGGGCGGGGCGGCGGCCGGCAAGGTGTCGGGGGGGCACAAGAAGGAGGCGGGCGGCTCGGCAGCGTCGGGCGGCGGCAACGGGCGCAACGACAAGCCGAAGAAGCGCGGCGGGTCGGGGAACCGCGGCGGCGGCGGCAAGCTTGCGGTTGGACCAAAGTAGGGGAGGCCCCGGGAGGCGGGGCGGCGGGAGGGCGGCCATGCGGCTGTGTGCGACGGGCACCGGCGTGGTCGCCACGTGAGAGGAGAGAGAGAGAGAGCGCGAGCGGCGAGGCGCGGCGGTTGAGCAGAGGGGCGGCTTGTGAGCAGCACAGAGGCTGCCACGGAGCGTGCCAAGGGGGGTCGGCGGTCCGCGGGCGGTGAGAGCTCACACCGCCCAAGCTCTTCTGGAGTGTTGTGTTTTCGACCCGAAAATTGACGGAAGAACGCGTACTGCGGGCATGGGGCGAGGTGTGGACAAACCAGATCCCACTATATGTTATATCATAGGATTTTATCGCTCCAGGCATTATGGTTTCTGGTTTCTGGTTTCTGCTCCGAAAGCGAGGTTGGCGGCGCGCCGCGCTGCCACGCACTTTTGTGGCTCACGGGAGGGAGGCCTGCGATGCGGTCGAGTCCGCCAGGCTGCCGCGATCCCGAGCGGAAACGCCGTGGTAGCCAACATGGCTGCCTCGTGCATCGGACGCCGACCGGCGGGGCCGTTGCTTGTCATGCCCAAGCCCTGAAAGGCTGAGCTGTGAAAGGCAGGCGTTGTGCGAGTGTTTTGAGTACCTATCGCCTATCAATAGAGTGTTTGGATCTACTCTGTTGGAGACAGAAAGAAGCTCTATCACAACGTCGGCGGAGCGGCCAATGCGCGCGGCGATCTTGAGGGCACCACCAGGAGCTGGCAAGGCCTCATCGCACGCTACCACACGTGCCGATCCGTGCCGAGAATTGCCCGCACCCGGCGTTGACAACCTCAGCTTAACACTCATCACCAGTCGCGACCAATCGGAGCAGAAACCAGAAACCAGAACGCAGATCCCGTTCCGTTTTCGCGGTTCCCATTTGAAAAAAAAATCGGAGGGGGTACACCTGTTCATTGACCGGAATGAGCTCATTAGGACGAAGCGGGAGATGTCTTCACACCGCAGAAACCAGACCCACAGGCAGATCCCACGGGAAATCGAGGCGGGTGTCCCAGAAAACAGATCCCAGAAAAAACAGAGCGCGCCGCAGAAACCGACCGACCCCTGGGTTTTCGGCTATGGGAAACCGCCATGGGAAACCGCAGCAGAAACCCTATGGGAAACCGACGTCTGGTATCTGCTTTGTCCACGAATGCATGGGGCAAGGTATTCCGACCAGACCCCGAACCGACGGATAACACCGACTCACAGTCACACACACAGACAAAAAAACGCGCGCGGGGGGCCCGGAAAATTTGATGGTTTCCCCGGGGAAATAGAGAGGAAAAGAGAGGGTGCTGTAGAGAAAAAAGGAAAGGAAAAGAGACGGGGTGCGAGAGGAAAAGCTTGTTCAGCCTCCTCTTGCTCGCCATCCCGTCGGTGGCCGGAATGGTTGGGCCGGAGCTGCTGAAACGGCGGATTCGATCATCTGCCTGAGGACGACTTCCTTTATGGCGAGGGCGACGGCTTCTAAGGAAGCCGTCGCCTGCGCCTTGTCTGTCGTGTGAATCGTGCGTGTGCCGACTGCGGCTGGTAAAATTCTTTTTCTGGCGCAAAATGGCGCCCAGCGGTGCAACGGAGGTGATCCAACTGAGCTCGGACGAGGAGGAGCCCGCGCCCGCCGCCGGTACCACGGCGCGCCGCACCGCGCCCACCTCCTCCTCCGCCGGCTCCTCGTCCTCCGCCTCCTCCGCCACCGCTGCGGCCGCCTCCTCCTCCGCCGCCTCCGCCTCCTCCTCCGCCAGCGGCGCCTCCGCCTCCGCCTCCGCCACGCGCACCGACGTCGACCTGACGAATGCCACCGATCCCGCGCCGCCCGCCATCCCTCCGGAGCACATCTGCGTCCTCTGTCGCACCTTTGTCCCGCGCGGCCCGCTGGCGTACGTGCTGAACGAATGCCGGCAGTCGGGCTGCCGGCAGCGGCACCACCGCCGCTGCCTCGCGGCGCACGTCGTCGCCGAGCTCGGCGAAAAGCTCGCTGCAGACATCGGGTGCCCTTCCTGCGGCAAGCCCCTCTCCATCCGCGACGTGACGGAGCTGTCCAAGAGCGACTCCGCCGCTGGCAGCAGCAGCGGCGGAGGCGGAGGCGGCGGCGGCGGCGGCGGCGGAGGAGGAGGAGGAGGAGGAGGCGGGGTGCCTCGGGGGCATGGCCAGCCAGCCTCGAAGCGGCAGCGAGGCGGGGGAGCGGGGGGAGGGGGAGGCGGCGGAGGCGGCGCGTTCGGTCGCGCGGCTGGCTCTCAAGGGGCCATCAAGCGGATCATGCGGGAGCTTCAGGCGCTGCAGCGGTCCGACACCGCTCACGGGCAAGGCATCTCTGTCTCCGTGCCGGACGACTCGGACGCGTACCATTGGGAAGTCGAGTTCTTCAACTTCGAGGCCGAGAGACAGCCGAGAGATGAAGACGAGATTAATTAATTCTTAATTGATTGCGAGGGGGTTCATGATGAGCGTTCCTAGGCTGGCACGCCCCTCGCAGCCGACCTGCAACACCACCCCCACCACCCCCACCACCCCCACCACCACCACTAAGTACATACCAACTACTCTACCAGGCTGGCACGCCCCTCGCAGCCGACCTGAAGCGAGTGCCGGGCAGACGCGTCGTCCTCTCGGTCCGCTTCCCCTCCTCCTTCCCGTCGGCGCCGCCGTATGTGCGCGTGCTGCGGCCGCGCTTCGCTTTCCGCACAGGCCACGTCACCATCGGGGGCTCTTAAGTAATTATAAATTAATTCATAATTAGTTAATCATTCTCACAGGCCACGTCACCATCGGGGGTTCGATCTGCACTGAGATGCTGACCAACCAAGGCCCAGGATATAGGGAGATATGGGGGGAGATGGGGAGATCTCGGCACTGCACTGAGATGCTGACCAACCAAGGCCCAGGATAGGGAGATATGGGGGGAGATGGGGAGATCTCGGCACTGCACTGAGATGCTGACCAACCAAGGCCCAGGATATAGGGAGATATGGGGGGAGATGGGGAGATCTCGGCACTGCACTGAGATGCTGACCAACCAAGGCCCGGCCGCACGAGGAGGAAGAATGAGCTGTGTATGCTTGCCACTCACGTTGAGAAGAACAGCCATAGGCTGGACGCCGACCATGACAATGGAGTCGGTGCGCCTCCGAGATATGGGGAGATATGGGGAGATATGGGGAGCTCTTCCCCCGCACCCGCAGAGGCGCCGGTGAGGCGTTGGCCAAGCCATCGTTGGGCGTGGGACTCCTCTCAGGTGCTCCTCGGCATCCGCACGAACATGCTCGCCCCATATCACCCCATATCTCCCCATATCTCCCCCTATCTCAGGTGCTCCTCGGCATCCGCACGACCATGCTCGCCCCATATCACCCCATATCTCCCCATATCTCCCCATATCTCAGGTGCTCCTCGGCATCCGCACGAACATGCTCGCGGGCGGCGCCCGCATCGACCCGAGCAGGCGAAACAGAGAGAGATGCCGCCGAGAGACCAAGAGGTGTGCAGAGATGCAGCCGAGGCGTTGCGGCACTGCCCCGACCAGGCGCGGCGGCTACTCCGGGGCGATTACTAATGAATAGCTCATCATTAGTTATTAATCGGACAGGCGCGACGACTACTCCGAGGCGGAGGCGAGGGAGGCGTTCAACCGCATGGTGCGCGAGCACGGCTGGTACTGAAGTCGCTCGCATCAAGGCCGCCGCTACTGTGTGGTCGCTGATACTGAGGTCGCTGCCACTGTGAGGCCGCTGGTACTGGAGGGTCGCGGGTACTTCGACTGGTACTGAGGTGCGTCGCTGCTGAGGTGTGCGTCGTTGGGTGGGGCTGCCGCGAGCATCTTGCGGGGGCCGGTCGAAGCCGGGAGTGCGAGACTTTGTGGCGTTGCCATGACCGGCTTCTTCGTGAGTGTGTGTGTGTGTGTGTGGTGGGGGGTGGGGGGGGGGGGGGGGGATCCCCCCCGAACGGGTCTCCGTCATTTGTACTAGTAATGTATCCAGTCTGTATCCCTCGGCGAGCTGAGAGAGGATGCGGCGGCGCTCTGTGTCAAGGTAAGGTAAGGTAAGGTAAATTTCTCCACACACACAAAGTGGTGGGGCAAGGGGGGGCGACCCTCGCATCTCCACACCCGGACACGGGCAGGAGCCCCACGGCATTCAAAGTGCAAGCACTGGCCCGGTGCACGTGGGTGAGCAGCCTGCCCCTCCCTCCCGACAAACCAACTCCCGCACACACACAATCGCACTCTGGCCATCGAATGACTCCGAATGACTCACTGTGTGTGCTAAGACAGAATCTCCGCAGACATCCAAAACGGGCCGTGCCGCGTTTGTGATGTCCTCTCAAGCACTAGCATCTGGGCGCCGCACTCGAGTGGGCGGGTCACATCTATGTGGGCCCAGTGCGCACTAGGCGCATATGCTAGTGCTATCCTGCCCTATGGGAGGCAGAGGGATGGGGGGAGGGGGGGGCAGAGGTAAGGTGGGGTGAGACTGGGGAGGACCTCAGAGATCCTCCATGGGGGTGGGGTCCGGCTCGAAAAGGTCAAAGTGCTCGATGCCGGTCCCGCCATCGCCGCCGACGCCGTCGCCCTCGTCCGCCTCGGAGGCGGGGGTCGTCGGGCGGGGCGCCTCGCCCGTCGCGAACCTGCCGCCGAACACGGCGTCGGCCGGCGCCGAGGCGCCGGCAGCCGTGATCAGGTCGGCGACCTTTCGGTCCCTGCAGGCCGCATCAATTTTGCCGCTCCGGGACGGCTCGTAGAGCTCGTTGGCGAGCCAGTCCCGGGCGACCTTCGTCGCCACGGAGCCCAGAGGGACCGTGGCGTACACCAGGTCGCCGAACCCGCTGCCCCCCTCGGGAGGCAGCGAGTAGGCGACCTGAATATTGGACCCGCTGGGGTTGCGCGCCGCCTGCGCCGCAGCCTCCAAGCCCTCCATCACGAACTCGACGTTCTCGCGCAGCTGCGCGTGCGGGTAGTCCGCACGCTCGGCCTCGCTCGCGGCCGCCGCCGCAGCCTTCCTCTCCGCCTTGTTCGCCTTCTGCCGGGCCTTTTTGGCCCTGCGAGCCGCGGCCCGAGCATCCTTCTGCTCCTCCGTCGGCTCCTGCTTCCGCGACGCGGTGCGCTCGACGATCGAGCGCTCCGCCGCCTGCACCGGCTCGCGGTCGCCCGCGGCCTTCTCGGACTTCAGCTCGAAGGTCGCCGTCCCGTAGCCAGGGCACTCATACCTGAGCTGCGACACACCTGCGAGCCTTGCGGCAATGAGGCAGTCTTCCATGTGCGCGCGATCGCAGCGATTCCAGGGTCGTCCGCGGCGCGTTCCCGGCGGCCCGACGGTGGCCGGCGCTTGCGCGCCAGCCCCGTCCGCCGCCGGCTCCGCGGCCGCGGTCCCTGTCATAGCTACGCGCACCATGGGGCGAAGTGCCCGCCGAGAGCGGGTGTCATCCTTCTTCCTTGCGGCGGAGCGCCTAAAGAGCTCGGCAGCCTTGGCGTTGGTTTCACTGTCACAACTAGAGGGTCGACAGCGTCCTAATCTAAAATCTGAGGATTCAGGATTGAGGGCTTGCTTCAGTGAGGCCAAAGTGAGTTTAATGGATGTGTGAGAACGGTACGGGACACGAGAGGAGGCACGCGGACCGACTCGTCGGTGTGGTCGGTGACTCTGCTGCACGCCGTTTCAGAATTTTTCTCAGCGTGAGCGAGACGTGGAAGAGTGCCACCGTCGGGTAGGATGGGTCGGGTAGGACTCAGAGCGGTCAAGCGATTGCGCGAAATCCCACAGGTGGATTTTGGGGCGCTGTTACCCCCTATCACACGCACAGGGCTAGTTGACCTTGACGGACGTCCCTCGTTTGATCGAAGAAACCCAACCGGAGCGGCTGGCCGCGCAGGGTCAGGGATGGTGGACTAACATTAACACACCTCAGGGGCAGCACTGACTATACAGATCGTGTCAACACTTGGCGCAAAGGTCGGTGTTAACACAGTTGTGTGTAGTGTGAGTGAGTGAGTAGTCTTGATACGAAACCACGACGACACACACCAGTCGACTCGCATCGGTTGCCTCCATGAACGGCGGAGCTATTCTCGCGCCCACACCACACCTGGCTCCAACGTGGACACGCCCATAGCTGGGGACACTACTAGGTCACGCATGGCATCAGAAGTTTTATCTCTGGGCCCCGAAAGGCATCTCTAGCAGCGTCGTTACGCATGCGCCCTCCCCTCCTGGGCGCATGCGCCTCACATCTCGCCAGAGCATAAGCTCTTGGTGTGCGACGAGACGAGTTTTTCGCCATCGCCGCGAGCAGCAAGCCGCCCGCCGCAACAGCCGGAGGCATCGCCACGGCACTGACTGCGCCGCGAACGATCCCGCACCCGTTATGCATACCGTCGACGAAGCTCCCCCCGCGGAAGACCGCGCGTAGCGACGCCTTGACGATCGAGATGAGCGCGCCTGAAGCTCGCCCACCTACTGCCCCTGAGAGTTGCTTACGAGTGGGATCGGCTCCCCCCCTTGGGATCGAAGCTTCCACGACCTCTCACCCAACATCACAGGCGGGATCAGAGAGAGACTCCGCACCGGACACCGCCCGGGCACAGACTCCCTTCCCATCGGATCGCACAGGGCCCCCTCGGAGCAGCCCACACACAATCACGCATCGGCAGAATTAGTGCCTGAGTCCGGCAGACAGCACAGACAAGGAGAGGAGAGAGAGAGGGGAGAGAGAGAGAGAGAGGAGACTGAGAGGAGAGGGTGAGGGAGTGTGCACACGTGAGGAGTGGGGAGGGTGTCTGTGGTAGGCTGTAGGTTAAAACCACGCGCCCCTCAGGAGCTTAGGTAGAGTGGAGCGTCCCAGACGGGACGCCTCGGTGCCTCCCACCGGGTGATACCATCCGGATCTACCGAGCTCGTCCTCCGGACGCACCCGTCCCCGCGATGGCCCACGGTCCTCCGTCGCCTGGTTGAACCCCCTGCCTCCCGGTTGACCCCCCAGTCCTCGGAGGGCTCCTTTGAGACGATTCGGTCGCTCGAGGCCGGCGAGGCCCTTGTCTATTCCGCCCGGCCATGCGTCATGGCGAACGCGCCCCCGGAGGCAGAAGGCACAGAGGGCGCAGAGCGGATTGCACACCTTCGAGCGGCACTGCCATTTGGGCAGGTTGGCGTGGAAGTGCTCCATGTGAAGGTACGCCAGCGGCTCACGGCCGATAGAGGAGCCTCTCGCAGAGCCTCCACGCCACGGGGTCCATCGCGCGCTCCGACTCGTCCTCCGACGCGCCTCCCCTCCGCGTCTCGTCGTCCGAAGCCGACGACGCCGACGACGCCGACGACACCCGGCGGTGGCGGCCAGTGGAGCCCATCGCGAAGGCCGCTCGCATCGCGCCGGTCAGCCACTCTGTCCCCTCGAATCGGCCGCACATGAGCGCGACGAACTCACGAAAGTCGATGCAGCCGTTCGAGTCGGCGTCCACCCTCGACATCTCGCGCTCCATCTGCGCGAAGCGCGCCTCGTCCCACGTCTCTGGCGCTTGCGCTCCGAGTCGAGCTCGTCAAAGATTGCGCGCAGCAGCCGCATATCGAGCGCCTCGTCGTCCTCATCGCTGGTCTGGCTCCCGCGCCGTCCCTCGCCGGCCTGGCTCCCGCGCCATCCCTCGCCGCCTTCTCGCGCGCTTCGGCGAGCGCCTCGTCGCGGAGGAAGCGGAAGCCACCCGTCACGATGGAGGCGCGCCGCAGGTGAGAAGGCACGTTGAGGCGAGCGTTGGACGCGAGAGCGGGTGTGGCCGGGGCGCCTGCTGCTGCCCGGCCCCCGATCGGATGCACGAACGGCAGCCACCACCGGCCAGCTCGTTCGCGTCCCGAGCCTCCCAGTCTGGTGCGACCGTCGTCGCCACGGCCCCCTGGGGAACCGTGGCGTACAGCTTGCTGGGGCCGCGTCGATCCCGTCGTCCCTCTCCGGGGGCAGCGAGTATTCGACCCCAATGTTGGACCGGCCTGGCTGTGCGCCTGCGCAGCTGCAGACCGCAGCCCGGCCATCACGTACTTGATGTTCTCGCGCAGCTGCGCGCGGGGGCTCCGCGCGCTCGGCCTCGCTCGCGGCGCGCTCGCCGGCCTCCTGCGCCCGGCGCGCCTTCTGCCGGGTCTTCAAGCCTTGCGTGCCGCGGCCTTTGCCGCGAGCTGCTCCTTGGTGAGCTCCTTCTCCTTTGGCGCGGTGCGCTCGATGTACGAGCGCTCCGCCGCCTTCACCGACTCGCTCGCGGTCGCCGCGCGCCGCGGCCTTCTCGTTCTTCATTCAGCTCGATCTCGATGGGCGGAGAGGCGACGTGCGAAAGAAAGAAAGAAAGAAAACACACAACCCAAGGGAGGGATGGGAGAACGGCACGCCGCCACCACACAGGGATTTTAAGGAGAGGAGGGTGTGATGCGCTAGCCGTCGCCCATCCTGGGGGGTCTGCCTCCTCGTATCTCTTTTCGCAGTCTCTCGCCGCTTCTCGCTGCAACCTTCATGCCACCTCGCGGCTGTCCCACTCTCGTCGTTCTCTCCCTTGTCACTTCCCCCTCTGTCGCGTCGTTCTCTTCTGCCTCGTCCTGCGACGCCGCCGCCTGCCGGTCCCTTGTTCTCGCGGCTTCTTTCGCCTCTCGGCGCAACTCCGTCCTCCTTGCGGCGTATCCTGGCCCCTCGAGTCTATCGAGCTCCCCTCGCGCTAGGACCACATTTCTGACTCCCACTCCGATCATTTGCCTCCAAGTCATGTTGTTGCTCAGGTCCACTCTCTCTTCGAACACTCGTGCCTCTACGGATGATGCTGGCGCTGGGGTCCCCTTCGGATGCATCGTGACATCTGACAACTGAATTTCCACTGGTTCGTCCTCCTCTGAGTCATCTTCCCCGTCCTCCTTCCGCTCGGCTCTTCGCTCGGTACGTTCGGTGTGGCTCACCCTCCATGCCGTGAACAGGCGTTTTATCCACCCTATATTCTTCTCTCGTTCCTCTGCCCGTGCCTTGGTCTTGTCGTTGTTTCGCACCCATGTCTGTATGGCAATCGAGGCTGCCTTCCCCACTACCTGTAGTTCACTCGTCACCTCTCCCGCAAGCTCCCTTCTCTTTCTTTCGGGTATGGAGTCCGTGAGTGCGGGTAGCGTGCAGGCAATCACGGGTGCTATTTTGTCGTACTCCTCTTCGGCGAGCGCCCCAAATCTAGACCCTTTCGCCTTTAAGGAGGCTGCCCTCGCTCGTCTCAGGAATGTGGCGGTGTCTTTTGAGTCCGGCGCCTCCCGTTCAACTCTTGCTGTCGCCCTCGCTGTGTGTTTGTCGAGCTTCCGCATGAAGTGACGCGCCTCTTCCTTATTTCCAGCGCAGCTGCCGCTCAGTATATGCGCCAACGACGCCTGTGGTGGCTCACTGTCTTCTTGTTTCCAGTCGTCCCAGTCTTTCAGTTCCCCGCGTCTCCTCCTTGCCTCGCGCGCCTCTTTTGCGATCTCATCGTGACGTGCGACACCACCGCAAAACTTCGTCGTGATTTTTTCTGCCTTCCTAAACTTTGATGCTCGCGGTGAGCATCCTCTCTGCCGAGCTCCGCTCCGCCTCAGAGGCTAGGCAGAAGCTGACTACGGCCCTGGCCGCGCCGGAGCCAGTGCGGGCGTTCGACCTCGCCGTCCTGGTCGCGGCTGAGGAGCGGCACGAGGAGGATGTCGGCGAGATAAGAGAGAGTATTGACCAGAGCATCGCCGAGCTCGCGGAGCGATCGTCGACGCGTGTGCGCCTCGCTGAGCTCGTCGGCAGCGCTGCGGACGAGCATGCAGTCGCTGCGGCGGTCGGCGCAACGCTCTTTGGCTCTGGTGCGCCCGACGACGACGGATCTGCCTTCTTCGCCGGCTCGAGCGAGGCCGATTACTACGATCCGGCCAACTCATTTGTCGACGCGGTGCTGCAGCGGAGGGTCGGCATCCCCATCTCGCTGGGACTCGTCTACTGCGAGTGCTGTGAGAGGCTCGGGCTACCGATGGTGGTGAGGGACGACCGAGACACTTTCCCTGCACCCCTCGCTAGCGACACACGCGACTCCCCGCTGTTGCGCCGAGCTCGCACCAGATTCGCGGCTGGGCCTCGCCCTCCCCCACCCAAGGCCGGGCGTCCATACCGACGCCGCCGCTCCACTGCAGGGCCTGAATGCGCCGGCGCACCTGCTGGTAGCGCCCGCGGACCGCAGCTTGGGCTTTGTGGTTGATGCGTTTGGAGGCGGCTCGATCCTTGACGCGGACGGCGCGGCGGAGCTGGTGGCGCGCAACGCGGTTCGAGAGGGGGTAGCCGAGAGGCAGTGGGCAGCGCTCAGAAGTGTGGGAGCCCGCCCCCCTCCCTCTTCCCGCACCCGCCACGCCCGCCGCCCCTCGCCGTGCTAGGGCATGACCTTCGACTACGCGCTCGGCGGGCGCACTGTCGACGGCGGCCTCCAGCGCGGCCGGATCCTGCTGCGCAGCCTGCGGCAGCGGCCGATGACGCCGGCGATGTGGTGCAGCAGGATGCTGCGCAACCTGCTCGCGGTTCACGCGGCGGCGGGCGACGTCGTGCGTTGCACTGCCGAGACACCTCTCCTCTCTCCTCTCCTCTCCTCTCTGCTCTCCTCTCCTCTCTGCTCTCTCTCCCTCTCTCCCTCTCTCCCTCTCCCTCCCTCTCCCTCCCTCTCCCTCTTCCTCTTCCTCTCTCCTCGCCGGCCACACAGCTCCCGCCCTCCTCGCAGCCAGCCGCATCACCTCGGCGCGCGCACCACTCGATCCCGCGCCACCACGCCCCCCGGCAGCCTGACAGCCCTGCCTCGACGCAGGTGCGCACGCTCGGCGCGACCGAGCGGCTGCGGATCGTGGGGGAGGCGCACCCGTCGGCCACAAGCCCGCGCGAGCAGCGCGAGTGCGCGGTGCAGCTCGCCGCGTGCTTGCGCACACTCCGCTGGGAGGCGCGGCGGGAAGAGGCGGCCGCGCTCCTCGCCGAGGCGCTTCAGGGCGCTGCGGGCGGAGAGTGGGCGGCCCGAGCGGCGGCGGGCGGCGGGGAGGGAGACCGCGCCTCGCTGCTCGCGGCGCGGCTGCTGGAGGATGACCAGGAGGGGTTCTTCGCGATGGGCAAGGGTGCGTAGAGTTCATTCAAGTCGCGGCGGACGCATCTTCGTTCGCGGATTTTGTGTGCGAGATCGAGAGAGATTCCACAGACGCACTATCCACACATAAAACGCAGGTACATCTCGCGGGTCTGTTCCGGCGTGGGTCGTCCGTGAAAAACAAGAAACTCGGCCTCTCGAGGTCTCGTGCGGACGGCGGGAGGCTCACGCGCCGGGTTTCATACTTTATGGCTAGGGCTTAGTCTGCTTTTTGTGTGCACTCAATCTTCTCTCTTCTGCCCTCAGATCTAGGCATCCCTGAGGGTGGCCTGGACCGTCAGCCAAATAACCTAAGTCAAACATCCTGAGGTTATGTCCTGAGACCAATCCTGAGAAAATATCCTGAGAAAATTTCCTAAGCCAATTTCCTGAGCCAAATATCCTGAGACCAAATATCCTAAGCCAAATATCCTGAGACAATTACCTAAGCCAAATATGGAATATCCTGAGACAAATTCCTGAGACCAATCCTGAGACAATATCCTAAGCCAAATATCATATCCTGAGACAATTTCCTAAGCCAAATGACCTGAGACAATTTCCTAAGCCAAATATCCTAAGACAATTTCCTAAGCCAAATATCCTAAGACAATTTCCTAAGCCAAATATCCTGAGACAATATTCTAAGCCAAATATCCTGAGATAATTTCCTAAGCCAAATATCCTGAGACAATTTCCTAAGCCAAATATCCTGAGGGAATCCTAAGAGCCAAATATCCTGAGATAATTTCCTAAGCCAAATATCCTAAGACAATTTCCTAAGCCAAATATCCTAAGCCAAATATCCTGAGGGAATATCCTAAGCCAAATATCCTGAGACAGTTTCCTAAGCCAAATATCCTGAGACAATTTCCTAAGCCAAATATCCTAAGCCAAATATCTAAGGCAAATATCCTGAGACAATTTCCTAAGCCAAATATCCTAAGACCATATCCTGAGACAATATCCTGAGCCAAATATCTAAGACAATATTGAGACAAATATCCTTAGCGATTGATCTTAGAGAGTCGCCTTAGAAAATATCCTAGAAATATCCTTAGAAAATATCCCTAGAAATATCCTTAGAAATTCTCCGTAGAAATATCCTTAGAGATGAGGAATACCCCTTAGGGAATATCTAAGGGTTATACTTAGGAGTCGATTTCCGCGTCGAAAAATGGCCGAAGGAGCACGTGGGCACTAGTTATATGTGAATACCATTTTGGCGCAAGTCTCAAGCGATGGTGCCAGATTCCGACCTCATCTTCACGCCAGTGATGGGGTTGATCACGCGAGTCGATCGACACGTCTTCGCCGCTCTTTCACCGACGCCCACAGCGCCAGCCAGTGTCACGACGTGCCGCTGCCAAGAACGACACTGTGCTCTGAGGATTCGCCGCACATCGAAGGAATCACGGAACGAAACGAAACCGATCGAGGCCCGGCAAGATCGAGGCCCTGGAAGGGCAGCATGTCATTGCTGTGTCGGCTGGACGCTCCTACAGCCTCGCCGTCACCGCCAACGGCGCTCTCTGGAGCTGGGGCGATGCATGCTTCGGCAGCTTGGGCCACAACGACCACCTGAACCACCTGCTGCCAAAGAAGATAGACGCGTTGGCTGGCCATCGCGTCGTCGCTGTGTCGGCTGGGCTACACCACAACCTCGCCCTTACTGCCGACGGTACCGTCTGGAGCTGCGGCGGTGGCTACTTCGGCCAGTTGGGCCACGGCGACGGTCAGTGCCATCCACAGCCCAAGAAGGTCGAAGCCTTGGCAGGGCAGCGCGTCGTCGCCGTTTCGGCGGGATCCGAACACAGCCTCACTGTCACCGCCGACGGCGCCGTCTTCACCTGGGGCAGCGGCATGTACGGCTGCCTCGGCCACGGGGATGGCATTGCGAACGCTCTGCTTCCCAAGAAGGTCGAGTCCTTGGAGCTGTGATCTGTGCAAGCGTGATCGGTTAATAACCGACACGTGTGTGCAACTCCTCTCACTAGCGCTTTTTCGAGACCTTGACGTTCAGACAACCGACACGGACACGTGTGTGCAACTCCTCTGACTAGTTCTTTTCACAGACCTTAGACAGCAGGGAAGAGTCGATGTGCAAAAAGAGAAGCCTTACTGCGGTCGCCACGCCCGCGCACTTGAGCCAGCTAGTGCCATTTCACTGTGGCACAGCTCGCGTTACAAAACTTTGATTTTGACCATTTGCGCCATTTGGTACCTCTCGGTGCCTTCCAGAGGCAGCTGTGACCCCGCCGAGTGGACGGGGGCACTCGGCAGGTGGCGCGGAGTGCCCCCGTCCACTTGGCGGGGTCGCAGCTGCCTCTGCGCGTCCTGGGGAGGTACCGAATTGTCGCCGCCGGAGACGAATCGACGCCGCTGAGATCGGAGATCAAGCTCTGACAGTTCGCACGTCGCTCCTTTGACGCCGACGTGACTCACCCGTGCAGATCACATCAGGACACGGTCTCGTCGCGCTCGGTACGACGCCTGCGACCCGTCTCGGGTCAGGTGGCATGACGCTCATCTCGCCCGCCAGCGCTGCCATGCAGGCTGCCACAACGAGGTCGAGCACGCTTCTATACGCTCGCCCAGCCTTCCTTTCCATCCCATTAGGCAGCCTGGGAACGGTGGCGGTCAGAGGCAAAGCCTACGAGGGGTGGTGGAACCACATGTCACGGCTACTGCCGGCTCGACCCCACGATAGCCTCCGAAGGCTGACTTTGAGGCACAACCATCGGACGATGTCGACGAGTTGGGTCGCTCTCGCGGTAGCCAGATGACCTCTCATATTAGGAGCATCGGCCATGGCCGCAGGGAGCGCGGGGGAGGGCGCTGGAAGCAACACGGAGCTCCTTTGGAGGCGTTTTCAAGATTAGCCGCGTGTCAGACTCAGAGTGAAATGGCACTAGCCTATGCGGAATACACGGCGTGTGTCGGCGCGGCCATTTTTTTCTCCGCATCTTTTGTTTATCACATCCCACAAGCACATAACTCAGTCGTCAGTGCGTTTTATACGCGCCAGCCGCCAGCCGCCAGACCCAGAGTCAGGCCAGAGCTCAACCCTACCCAAGGCAACTTTTGCATGGTCTCAGACTCAGTCCGCATCAGCGGCCCCAGCGCAGCGGCCAGCGGCAGCGCCTCGCTCACATACACACTACGGCCCCCCCGCCCACCCCTCGATCTTCTTGGGCAGCAGCTGGCTCGACAGGTCCTCTCCGTGGCCAAGGCAGCCGGTCTCGCCCTCGCCCCAGGAAAAGACGGAGCCGCTGGCGGTGAAGGCGAGGCTATGGCCGGCTCCAGCCGACACAGCGACGACGAGCTGACCCGCGAAAGCCTCGATCTTCTTTGGCAGCAGCTGGTTCTGCTCGTCGCCGTGGCCCAGCTTGCCAAGGCGTCCATCGCCCCAGCTCCAGACGGCGCCGTCGGCGGCGAGGGCGAGGCTGTGGTAACGTCCAGCCGACACGGCGACAATGCGCTGGTCAGCCAAGGCCTCGACCTTCTTCGGCAGCACCTGGTAACACGGCCAACTGGGCCACAGCTTGCCAAAGTCCCCCTCGCCCCAGCTCCAGACACTGCCGTCGGCGGTGAGGGCGAGGCTGTGGTTGCGTCCAGCCGACACAGCGACGACGCGCTGGCCAGCAAAGGCCTCGAGCTTCTTGGGCAGCCACTGGCCCTGCGTGTCGCCCTGGCTCCAGACGGCACCGTCGGCGGTGATGGCGAGGCTGTGCGCGCCTCCAGCCGACACAGCGACGACGCGCCGGTCAGCCAAGGCCTCGACCTTCTTCGGCTGCCACTGGTGCTGCTCGTCGCCGTGGCCCAGCCGGCCTTCCCTTCCACTGCCCCAGCTCCAGACGGCTCCATCGGCGGTGAGGGCGAGGCTGTGCGCGAATCCAGCCGACACAGCGATGGCACGCTGGCCAGCCAAGGCCTCGACCTTCTTCGGCTGCCACAGGTGCTGCTCGTCGCCGTGGCCCAGGCGGCCAAAGGATCCCTCACCCCAGCTCCAGACAGCTCCGTCGGCGGTGAGGGCGAGGCTGTGGTATCCTCCAGCCGACACGCTCACGGCGCGCTCGTCACCCAGCGTCGACGGGAGGCGGGTCGGCGTGTTGAGCCGCGTCACGCCCTCGCCGTGGCCGAGAACGCCTGGAAGTTCCTCCTCCTCGCCCTCCTCCTCCTCCTCGCCCTCCGCTGACCCGCACGACGACAGCCGCCCCTCGCCGTCGATGAAGACGCTGTGCCCAATGCCTCCCGCCGCCCTCGCCGGCGGGTTGGACTCGCGCAGCAACGCCGAATAGCACACCCACCGCACGGGGCAGCTCTCGCCCTCTGGATTCGCCGGCAGCTCGAAGCCGCGCACTTGCGCCCACAAGCGGATGCCCTCCTCCGCGAGTGAGGCGTGAAAGAGGAGCGAGACGGCCGCAACGCGAGCGATGTCGATGGGGCTGGCGAAGCGGGAGAGGACGCGCTCGAGGAGCTCCCTGGGGAGGTCGAGGAGGCGGGCGGGCGGCGGCGCGTCTGGCGAGGGAGCGGCGGTGGCGGAGGCGAGGCTGCGCGTGGACATACAGAACACATGTGCACGTATCGCAAAAAAAGAAACCTCCGGCGCGTGGTGTACAGTCGTGTAGCTCCGAGTAGAGGGGGCGTTCTGAAGTTAAGGGGAAACCCGGTACACGGAACCAACCCTCGGAGACCCGTGTTTACTTTAAGGCCCTTTCCCTGCGAACGCGCACCCCCGGGGCTAAAGCCGTACGGGGTGTGGACCCTGAGTTGACCAGGGGTTGTGCGCTGGGCTCTCCTGCTCGGCTCCAGCCAGTAGACAAGTCTTGTCATCAACAGAGTAGAAGGATCTGACCTCGGGGCCGATGTGACCAAGCGCTGGTAGCGTGGTTTTACCTCACACCCATGGTCTCACACAGTGTGCCGGCAGTCGCCGAGCAGTGTCGCTCACACAAGCCGCAGCACAAGTGACTGAGGGCCAGTGAGGGCGAGCTCATCGCTGTCACAGCTGTGGCAGCCGCACAGTAGGCTGTGTCAACTGTGCAGAGTGTGTGAACAGCAGAGGAGCTGCTCTCCAAGCTTCAGGCGCAAAGAGCTGCATGCCGCCGATGGCGCTGTCGAGGTTCGCCGAGCGCGGCGCAGGTTGGAGGACAACGTCACCGACGAGCGCGTTGGACTTTTCACTCCGGACAAAGACGGGCACACAGCGGACGGTGCGGGGCGTGTGCCCGTCATAGCGGCGAGGCGCGGGACCGTCTGTGGCGAAGTGGGTCGCGTCCTCCGATTTCCTCAACTCACGGTCTCCGCTCCCTCTAGGCCTAGGGCCTCTCTAGCGGCCCGTAACCCGATCCCGATCATCCGGCCCGCTGGGTGCGCTTCTGAGCTCCCCGGCCCTGGATGTGAGGTTGATAACTGCACTCCAAGCGGTGCTCCAAGTCGGAGGAACTCTCCACCGAAAAATAAAAAGTGTCCCCGCGAGCTGGGAATAGGACCGCCGCAAGCGGCGTGGCGTGGAGCGGTTGTGCATCGCACACACACGTGCGTGCGCACCCACATACGAGTCGACTCCACAAGTCACACCCATACATGGAAATCTCTGCGCTACATCGGAAGATCCTTGGACTGTAGATCGTAGATGCCTTTCAGAGATCTCTTAAGTGGCAAATCTCCTGCCAAGAGCAGCAGTAGATTGAAGAACTGGTGGAGGCAAATCCTCTCCGGAGTAGATGCTCGAGAGGAGTCTGAGATCTCGAGTTGGTGCGTGCAGTCGCTTGAGATCTTGCGACAGAGGTGGAGATTCTGACTTCGCGCCAAAGGCGCCTAGAGATCGTGTGGGCCGACTGGAGATTGCAAAATGGCGCGAAAAGAGTGTGGAGATCCTTTTGCTATGTGAATGAATCCATAGCGCATCTCCTTGAAGGTTTGAGCCCCCCTCCTCCCCCGGGCCCCCGAATCGAGATTGGAGATTGGAGATTGGAGATGGAGATCGGAGATCTGACTGAATCCGGCCTAAGATGACGACGTTGGAGATTGGAGATGGAAGATGGAGATCGGAGATCTGACTGGATCCGGCCTAAGATGTAGCGACGCTGGAGATTGGAGAGTACTGGAGAGATGGAGATCGGAGCCCCCCAGCCCCTAGTGGTGTCTCATCGATTTTCTTGTTTTGTTTTTAGACAAAGGTTCTCTGCGCGGACGGCCCCGCGGGGAGCCTCCGGCGCCATTTTAATCTGCGCTCCTCTTTATGGCCTGCGGCGCCTGGCTTGAGCTTGGAAGTGGAAACGAGTCCGCCAGGGCGGTCTGCAAACACGGAGCGCGCTGCGCGCGCGGTCTACGCCGAACTGGGGGCTGTTATCAGGATTCACAGTGCGAGTCCTCGGCTGAGAGGAAGCAACAACACCCACCACCGGCGCACGGATAGTTAGCGGGGCACAGGTGTCCCAAAGCAGCCTTGGGTTGCTCGGGCTCTCTCTCTCTCTCTCTCTCTC